TTATGTACATTGGTGTTTTGCCTTCATGTAAGCCTGTATAAGGGTGTAGAATTCTCTGGAACTGGAATATAAACAGTTGTGAGCTGTATCGATGTTTTTCATTATTTTAAAAATTATTTCATAGGATGAGTATATGGAAATTTATTGGTGGGGATTTAAAATGATAACATATATCCATTTACTTATTTAGAGAGGATAAAATACAAATATACATATATATGATAGAGAGAGAATGAACATACAATACACACCATGACATTTCGACATTCTGTTCATATGGAAGTCAATGAACAAATTAGGAGGTGTAAGCTCTTTCCTTCCACCCAACTAGTCATCTCATTGGCCCTTCCCTGGTACTTTTCATGATCAACTTGTGGCTTTCTGCCTTAGAAGATTTTCTTGTGGTTTGAAACTTAAAGAATATTTTAATATTAATATGCATTAGGAAATATTTGTGCATAATTTTGTTTCAAATGAATGATACACTTAATAACTTTTCACCCTAGGGGTCAGAATTCTTGATGGGAGGAGGGTTGCTGTGTGTCTAGCTTGAAGAAACTGCTAGTCCAGAGTAATTCATGGGAAAAGGCAAATGTAAAGTTACTCTGCCATGCAGGTGAGTGAGTTCACTGGAAATAACCAGTGAAAAAGCACCAAGGAAGGTTCCAGGGTGAGTCATTGAAATGCCATGTTCCTTCTTGGCATTGTGCCTTTGAGAGTCTGTCCTATGTGCCCCGTGCACTTCTCTGGACTAAGACTATTGATCACTAATGCTCTGCAGGCCCCTCTTGAGAGTTCAGGTTTTAGCATTTAACCAGTTATAGCAATCATCACATAGTTATCCAAATATAACATTCTTACAAAAGTCAAAATTTCCAAGGCACTTCAGAAGTTAAATAGCCTTCATGTTTACTAAACATTTTAGAATACTAAGGTCTCAAAACTTAGTGAAAAACATTCCAGTTAGATGAATTACCTTGTATAATTTATTCTCTAGTTACTTTTAAAATGTGAATTTCTGAAAAATTGATGCAAAATGACATGCACAGTACATGATATACTGAGGTTCTTCTTTAATGCACTTCAGGATCAAATATGAGCATAATCATTAATTATACCCAGAACTTTAGCTTTATTTCATACTTGATGACTTTCAGAATAAGCTATATCAAAACATGGGGCTTGACATAGGAAGTTATTTGAGTTGATGTATGAACGTGAGGAAGGACACAGATCTTCCCCTGAAACTGCTCATAAAATCTAGAAAGGACTTCCTGACAATTTCCTTAAGCAGATCAGAGGCACCACATGTCTCTCCATGGAGGAAACGTGCAGCCTCATATCTGAAGACTGATGAAGGCACACAGAGAGGACATGATCCAAAAGCCCTCACTATTTGCCATTCATCTGCTTGACTCCTATTGCTTTCATTTTGACACACGTTTCATATCATTCCACTTTCCATCAACTCTAGAATAAACTCTCAGGTCTACTACATGCTCTAAAAGGCACAGTGCTGGCCCTGAGCAATGGTGCATGTCCACGGCTCAATGCCATGCTGCATGGGTGAAATGACTGGGCCCTCCAGGAGTTGAGTATCAGGAAAGGCCCCCGAGGTGAGAAGGGTAAGTGTATTGGGAAATATGGGGGAATACATAAAGGCATCATTTTGTGGTATGGAAGGAACTCAGGTGAACATGAAGGCTGTAGCCCACTCCAAGGATCAGGACCATAATGAAATCTAGAGTAAAGGCCCATAACTTTGGGGCCATGTGCACCTCTGTCCCTACATGTTGTAGAATTTGGGGACCCAGGCCTGATATGAGACCAGATGAGTGTTTGGAAGATTCCCTTTCTTCGGTAGCCTTGTCCTGGTCTCTAGCTGTCTGCAGGGTCAGTAATTCCTCTTGAGATGAACTCCACAGCAGGACTGATGCCCTTCACCATCTCCATGTGCTCCATGGGTCACTCTGACTTGTGCCTGGGATGGTACCCCATCTTTAAAGTAAAGAGTGTTCTGGGACTAGAGGCTCTAGGCACAAGGGAGATGTTGGTGTGCTTACTCTTCCTGTTGAGGCTTTAGGCACAAGTGACATGTTGGTGTCAAAGACTTTGTTCTTGTCTTTCACACTTGGAAGCCTGGCTAGGGGTGGCATAGACCAGGGAATGAGACCTGTTCAAAGACAATTCAGGCATGTACAGGGGTAACAGCTGCTCTTATACCCTCATACATATCAAACAGTGTGAGTGAGAGATAACTCTTTCCATCTTTTACCCGGATAGATGGAAGCTCATTAGGTTGGGTCCAAGAGGAAACTCTCCAAATGAGCGTGGTGCCTGGATTGGTTCACAGGGGTCTGGGATTCAGGGTTAGAGGCTCCCCAGGGCAAGTGACAGTGAGGTGGGGATGGATGGCAGCTGATGATGCTGTGTTCATCTTCTTTCATCTCCCCTGTACACTGTGGCTGGGCTTCAATACTATATGCTTTTATATTTAAGTAATTTGATACTGATTAAGTGAAATCCAAAATTTTGTTGTTAATGTACATTTAATGTACCTGACTTTTTAAATTATAAATTAGAATATTTGCTTAATATTATTTGAAAATATGCACATTTAAGGATTCCTTCTTAAGCAAAGGATATTCTATGTAATGACAATTAATTCTGAATGAAAGCAATCTTGAACAAAATCTCAGGTATAAGCATTTGTTGGGGGCTTTTCTTCCTTAGGAAGACTTGTGCTGTGAAAGTTTGTACTAGGTGAGTGTTCATGTGTTTCTCTTGGCAATCTCTGTTTTGTTGTGGAGTCCCTAACAAGGAATTGAAGAACCAAATGATAAGACTCTCCTTTAAAAAAAAATGTACTCTCATATCAAAAACATCGTCTACTAGCACCACCATAATCTGTTTTCCTATTCTATCTAAGTATATCTTAGAGATTTTTAATTTGAATGTAATAAGCCCCTATAAGCTCATAGGTAGTGGAATTATTAGGATGTATGGCTTTGTTAGAGAGAGTGTGGCCTTGTTGGAGGATGTATGTTACTGTGGAGGAGTGTTGAGATCTCTTATGCTCATGCCATGCCTAGTGTCTCAGAGCACTCTTTGTTGCCTGTGGGATCAAGATGTAGCTTCTTCTCCACTTTCTTTTCCTTCTCGAGCATCATGTCTGCCTGCATGCCTCCATGTCCTGCCATGATCATAATGGACTAAACCTCTGAAACTGTAAGCCACCTGATTAAATGTTTTCCTTTTTAATTGTTGCTGCAGTCATGGTGTCCCTTCACAGCAATAGAAACCCTAACTAAAACAGCAGGTATCCAACATAATTACAGAGGACAATGGACTCAAAACAATTTTACTTTTGGACCACCCTTTGAGCATGGATCAGATGCAGAATACATTGTAAGGATTTGCACATTTAGCTGTATTTGTTACAAATGCTTTTAGACCTGTATCGTCTATGTAGATATCATTGCAGAGCAAGCCCAAGGTCAATCAATTCACCTTGCTAAGTGGAAATCTGGGACAGCCATGTGTCATGCAGTGGGTAAGAGCTGATGTGTTGTTCTACGCTGAGTAGCAGCGTGCAGAGTCAGAAATACCTTTCTCTTTGTGTTCTGCCTTTTTATCCTCCTATTACTTCAGACATGATCTTTCACCCATTTAACTAGAACTTTCCCAGCACATGAAGTCAGCCCACCCAAATGAACCCCTTCCCATGCTACTCACCCTGGTTACCTCCATGTCTTCAAAGGCTAATGTAATAAATGTTTCCTAAGTCTACACAGAAATATAAACTAGTACATGAAGAAATTAACAACTCGACTTCTAGAAAACTAGAAGAAGTTTTAGATAGAGACCATAGTGGCCGCCACCATCATGGAGTATGATACCTCATGACATATATATACATATATATATATATGTATATATATGTCATGACATATATATATATATATATATATATATATATATATATATATATATATATATATATAATGAAGACTGCATTACTCAGGGGAGAAAAAAAATAAAAATATAGTATTAATATTAAACTACTGAAATGATATGCAGGTATAGAAAAATGAACTGAAGGAAGATTTGATATTCATTTCTAGATACTGATAGCAAAGGTTATTTCTGATATTTATGCTTTTTGAAAGTTACATTTTACTTATTTTCTAAAAAGGCAAATGCAGTGTCTCTGTTGTGAATTAAAAAGTTATACCTTTCAAAAAAACATAACAGGCACTCAGAGTTGAAGGCAGAAAAGAGCTAACACAGCAAGCTGGCCAATCAGAAAGTTCTGCTGCCTCCTTGGCTGGTGTCTGGGAGTTGGGATTTCAGTTTATCTTTATATTTATAGACACATATTTATGCGGTTAGATGTGGTTGTACATATTATGTATACCATATAGATAGTTATAAAAACATGCACATAACTATACTCATAGCTCTGCATACAACATGGATACCAAATATATGTGTACCAATACCAAAAGGTTGTTTGTTTCTTTTTATTTTCTTATTATGCCAATTTATTATACATCTAATTTAATTTCAAAGTTTATTTCTATGTGTGTGTGTGCCTGCAAAGGTGGAGACAATTACATGTTTTTAAATTTATGATTGTGGGCACATGGATGGGTGTACTGTGTGAGAACAAGCATGTGTGTATTGTGGCACAAGAATGATGGTGCCCTCATCCTTTATGATGGACTATTGCAGTGGGGTGGGGCATGCTTGATCATGCTGCATTCCGTGCATGGAACTTCCATGCTTCTAGAGCACAGATGTTGTCTAAGATGTTACTAACAATGTGTAGACGAGTCAGGATCTTTCTTAGATGGATATCTACAATCTATGTCACACGTTAAGTCCCTAAAATACCATTTGCCACCAAAACATGTAAGTTTTCAGTTTCTCTTTCCTCTTCCACTGCACTTTCAGGTTATAGTAAATTACCACCATCAAGTAAGTCTAAAAACACTTACTGGTCATCCACAACTTGGTGGAGAGAAGAAAATTTTGGGTTCCCAGGATACAATGATGTTGACAGGAAGACTTCCAGGTGGGGTGTTCCTACTGCAACTGTTACCACGGGCCTTGAGGCTGAGACAGCAAAGAGGCATCTCTGCTGGGCAACTGTATAACTTCTCTCATCTTCTAGATTCTGCCGCTGCAGACAGGAAAAGGATTTCAAGGTCTGTGATTAGATAGCTGGTTTAATTGAGGCCATCTTCCCTAAATCCTGTTTGGCTTTGAGGGTAGCACAACACTTACACTTCATCTAGAAAACAGGAAGAAATTCCAAAGTGTTTTTCTTTTATAACTGAGATTCTATTGGTTGAGGACAAGCAGAAAAACATGTTATTTCAGTTTTGTTTTCCTTCTTTTTGCATGCCACAATTCTTAAGAGTAGGTTTCCATCTGCAATAAGATCTAGCGTACAGGAAAGGAACACTGTGATACCTTGACTAACTCCTCAGATCTCTAAGCTGCCTCCTTCTGACTACCCATCAAATGGCAGGTTAGGGCAAGAAAAAAGCATCCATGGTAAAAAAAAAAAAAAAGAATAAAAAGGAAACCCAACACTAAGGAGACTGAGTTAGAAGGATTGCTGGGAATGTGAGGCCAGCCTTGAGAGAGAAAACTTTCAGGGACAGAGAGAGGCATGAAGGCAAAGGACAATGGGAAATTCGGAATGGGTTTGCTCAAAGTGGGATATGTTCATTGTTTTCTACTACTAATCTCCACTAGCATTTGTTTTAAAAGGTGACAACAGCTGAGGCAGAGTCAGCACCTGTCCCAGGACTCCACTTTCCAAAATGGGACAGGATGAACTGCTGTTACACTGCTATCCAGTGAGTGACAGCCTCAGAAGTCATCAACTACCATGATGAGAGGAAATAGGGAAAGCCTCATGGCTTTCTGCTTTCTGGTCAATCCCACTTCAAGTTGTGTTTAATGTTGGTGAAGGGACAGGCTGGAGGGCAAATTTCAAACAGCTCTGTTCCCCAAGGCCCAGGTACTGCAGATGGCACAATACACATCTCCTAATAAGAGAATACTGACGATAAACTGAGTCTCAGAAATGGTAGACAATTATTTGAACTGTTTACATACAGACTGAGTCTGCCCCATCGCCACTGACCTTTCTCTTTTGAGCAGTGAACTTTTGTAGTAGGAGAGGATTATTGGATGGGAAGTTGTCCCCAAGCAATGATGAGAACTGTAGCCTTTGGGCAACTTCCTTAATTACCAGCCCCAAAACATCTGCATAGCTTGACCACCTTTGTGCTTCCCTGAGCAGAGTGAGGCCTGACCTCTGTGAAACTCCATAAGGAACCATTATCATGGTTACATGTGTGCCCTTGACAGGTTGGCAGCTCACTCTTCTAAAGTGGCCTGTGATTCACAACAATAATAACGTGAGCAGGAATCAATTTCTGTTGAGTCAGTGCAGACATGCTTTGTGGGAAGACCTGATCACACATCAGTGAGTGGACATGACAAGGAGCTTTCTTGAAAGGGATCACAAAGGCATGGTTCATTATTCCAGGGGATTTCAAGGCAGAAGACAAATGTCATTTTGAGAAGGTTTTACATAGCAAAGACCAGGGGAACAGCCTCATTAGTGCATGCCATGAATGACATACAGGAGGGGACACCATGCCCACACTGCATAAAAGCCTCCATGAAGATCTTCAAAACGATCATGTGCCTAAGAAGGCAGCCGCTAGATCAATGGAGGGCCAGCATCTTCTGTTATATTAGCTGCCTGTGATATGCCTTCATGGGAGTAGACCACATAAGGAAGGAAAGGCAGCAGAGACCTTGTTGGGACTCAATTTTGTTATCTTTACTGAGAAGCAACAATTTTCCACGTGAGCTCATGGTGCCTCTTTACCCATGCTCACAATCTCCAATGCAACTGCAAGGACTCTCCCAAGCACCACTGTTTCCTACCTACCTTACCTTTCTATTTGTGTAATATATAGTTTATTCCATCTGGACTCTGTGCTGTGTGTGCTGGTGTCTGTGCCCATTTCACTTGGAAAGAGCCAATGTTCCTCAGAATATACTTGAGTTGTAAGAGAAGGGCTGTAAACACTGTCCTCTATCAATATCCACATGTTATTTTTGTTTCAGAATGGCTGAGCATAATCCAAGGCTAATTATAAATTACAAAATAGCTTCAGAAAAACCTGGACTCAAAAGCATCCACTGCTTTAACCCTAAAGAGAAACAGGTACTAGAGAGTTCCAGAATATCAATGTAACCAGGCTTACCTCTAACACAAAAACTGCCTGGACACAGCCATACCCTGAAAGTAGCCCAGGCCAACATGGTCTCTGAAAAAGCCCATGCTAAGCACCTAAAGTGAAAGTAGACCAGGATTAACCATTAAACCATGATGTCAAGAGAGAAGTATTCCAAGGCCTGAGGATGAACCTGATGAAGACCAGGAATAAAGCCTAAATTAACAATGGCTTTACCTCATTCAGAAAGGTCACAGACCAACCCTAAGAATAAAAGTGCCAAATCCTGACCTAAGAGAGGCCTGCACCCAAACCTGAAGCTGAATAAGCTCTGACCCAGAGGAAAAACAGAGGTATCGCTGGGCCAGTCCATTAAATGGAAGAGCCAAGGCCAAAGGAGAAAAGGAAAAGTAACAAAATGAAATGAAACAAAAAGCAAAGAAAAGAACGCCAATGTCTATCCTGACCCTGAAGGAGGCTGGCCCCAACCAAGAGGGAGATGAGTTCTGCCCTATCCCTCAGAAGAAAAAGACGTGGCTCAAAGAAGGAAAAGGAGAGTATCCATGACTCAACTTTACCTGGACTGAAGGCAGGGCCCTCACCAGGATGAGAAGTTGGCCTCAGCATAACTCTGACCCTGAAGACTGGGCCAAACTAAGAAAGGACACAGGCCCAGACTAATCCCTCAAATGAAAGAGGCCGGGAAAAAGCAGGAAAAGGGAACACAGACAGAGGCCTAACACTTACCCTGACAAAAGCCTGAGATAAAACAAGGGGAGAAGAAGACCTGGGACATTTTCTTAAATGAAAGAGGCCAAGGACCAACCAAGATAAAACTATTGTCTGCCTATAATCCTTACCCTGATGAAGTATGGGCCTAAGTAAGAAGAGATGTGGGCCACATCATAACCTTAATGCTGACAAAGACCAGGCCAAAACCAAGAAAAGTAGTGGGCCTGAGTCCCATTCTAGCTATGCATATGCCTGGGCCCTAATCAAGAAGAGAAGTGGGGCTGGGGCAGCCCCTTAAAGAATGAACACCCAGAGAAAACCAAGAAAACAGCTATGCCCAGCTCTAATTTTTATTCTGAAGACACCAAGGACCAAATGAAGAAGTAGGTCTTTAGCTAGAGTTTTCTCCAGTCCTGCCTGGAGAAAACTGCCCACGGTCAGTTCATGTCTCTCTACATGCCAGTCCCGAAGGTGCTCAAACCCAACCAAGTAAACACACAGAGACTTATATTACTTATAAACTGTATGGCTGTGGCAGGCTTCTTGCTAACTGTTCTTATATCTTAAATCAACCCATTTCTATAAATCTATAAGTTGCCCACGTGGCTTGTGGTTTACCAGTATTTAATCCCCATCGAAATCCCAACAAACATCTTCACAGATTTTCAAAGAACAATTTTCAACTTCATATTGAAAACCAAAACCCAGGATAGCCAAAACAATCACGTACAATGAAGGAATGTCTGGCATCACCATCCCTGACCAAATGGTCTACTATAGAGCTATATTATAAAAACAACTTGGTATTGGTTTAAAAATTGACACATAGATCAATGGAATTGAATCAAAGACCCTGACTTTAATCCAAAAACATACGAATACCTGATTTTTGACAAAGAAGCTAAAATTATACAATGAAAAAAAGAAAGCATCTTCAACAAATGGTGCTGGCGTACTGGCATAACTGTATGTTGACACATGCAAGAATGCAAATTGATCCATTATCTATGACCATGCACAAAACTCAAGTCCAAATGGATCAAAGACCTCAACATAAATCCAGTTACACTGAACCTGATAGAAGAGAAGTAGCAGAGACACTGAGAGCAACACCTAATAAATGGGACCTCCTGCAACTGAGAAGCTCCTGTAAGGCAAAGGAAAGGGTCAACAAGACAAAATGACAGCCTACAGAATAGGAAAAGACCTTCACCAAACCCACATCTGACAGAGGGCTGATCTCCAAAATATATAAAGAATTCAAGAAACTAGACATCAAAAAAACCAAACAATCCAACTTAAAAAAATGGGGTACATATCTAAACAGAGAATTCACAACAGAAAAATATTAAATGGCCAAGAGACATTTAAGGAATTGCTCAAAATCCTTAGCCATCAGGGAAATGCAAATCAAATGACACTAAGATAACATCCCACTAACAACCTCATAGCTTGAGTGAGCTCTACTGACACTGGGGGAATCTTCATAACCATGTGACTTTTTTTGAGCCCACCAATCTCTAAAATTCTGAGGATCTTCCCTGGGTGAATGTTCACTTCAGAGGTCTCATTCCTACTACTCCCCATTATCCTGACCTCATTTCTAAGCATCCTTTCTTTCTCAAATTATTGATTATTAATCTTGGGGAGGGGAAAATCCAACCCTGGACAGCACATGCAAAATGAGCTTTCAATTTCACTTAGACAAAGTTTCTAATAAAGCAGAGGCCTAGATTTCTGGCTTTGGAAGGAGGATCTACCTAAAGGCTTCCATTGTGAACCCAGAGGTTCCTGCAAATGGCACCTTGGTTTCAAGTCACTTTTGGGTGAGGTATGAGACAGGGATGTAACAGCTATACCATGTGACATCAGCACATGGACATTCTACTGTATCCTGGAGAGCCCTGGCATTCCATGTGATGTCACCAGTGTTGTGGCAACACCAACTGTCATTGGGGCATTTGTGCAGTGTCTCGTGTTTCACCTACAGACATGCTGACTAGACTGAACAGGATTCTTGGGAGACAGGATGGCGAGCACAGGGAGACCAAAGGGAGGCAGAAGGAAGACAGCCTTCAGTCTCCATGTCACACATCAAGAAATACATGGTTCTGGGCAAAGCGCAGTGAGTCCTGGGAAAGGGATGGGGAGCTTCCTGAAGGAGGAAGGCTTCAGCTGATCCTTCTAGAAGTGGGGATAAGGGGGTGAGAGTTTCTGAGAAGCCATGGCCTATCCTAGTCCTCTGAGTTCTTAAAGAGCAGAACAAAGTTGTGGATTTTTCAAGGTTAGTTTGGCAGAGAGCCAGGGATGGTCAAGGCTGCAGCTGTTCTGTTGAGGGCTCTCTGCTTTCACTCTGAGTGGGAAGGAAGCACAGAGGGACTAAAGAGGTTTCAGTACCAGCCCTGCACTTCACCCACACTGGATTTCTTTTGGTGTGTGTCACTAATAACAAGAAGAGTAAAGTTACCTGGCCAGAGCTAGAGGTTCTCACACTTAAATAACAACCCACTAGCAGGGCAGGAGCCACCAAGTATTGCTGCATGTCAGTGATCCCTAAGGTTTCTGAGTTTCTTCCTCTCACTAGCCAGTCATCTTCCCTCTATCTTGAGTGCAGGACTGGGACATCACTCTTCCTGTAAGTATTTGTTCTTGGTGTCAGAGGGCTCACCTGTGGATGTCCAGTTCATAGGTATTTTCAGTCACACTTTCAATGGTTGATAACAACTTTGCTAACAACATGATGGATGGAATGTATTCCCTGAAGCTTTTGGTAAAAGTTTCATGTTTACCTATATGACTTACCATTGCTCTGACAGGACCCACACAATCCTCCGCCATCCTCATACATTGTAACTGCCCCATGGATCTTCTCTGATGTGCTTATTTACCTCATGGAACTGATCTTCCTTCCCCATTATACTGAGCTAATTTCTTAGCATCCTTTATTTCTCATCTTGTTAGTTAGAGATCATCAGGATGAGAAGAGCCATTCCTGGGCACAGTTTGGAAAATGAGTCTTACCCTCCATACATGATGAACTATTGAATTAGAATGAACTAGATTCTAATGAATCAGAGAGATCTCTGGATTCGAAGGAGGAGGTGCTGAAGGCCTTCCCCTGTGTCTAAGGGAAGGCTCCTGGAAAGGGCAGCTTGGCTTTTGGTGAATTGGGGAAGAGTTTGTTATAAGATAGGTGAAGGCTGTTGGCCGTGACCCTAACAGTCCCTTCTCTGGAAATTCTGTTGTATCCTGGAGAGCCCTTGGCATCTTTTGTGAAATCACCAGTGTTGTGGCAATGCCAACTGCCCTTGAGGCATTCATTAAGTGCGTATAGGGTTCACGAATAAACATGTTGGCAAGACTGAGCATACTGGCTGGAAGAGAGATCTCTGTTTTTTTTTCGGGAGAGGTTGAGGCCAGAAATAGACCTTCTAGTAATGGGGTTCAGTAGCTGTAATCATCTGAAGTCATGGGCCTATGCTGCTTATCTGGGTTCCTAAAGAACAGATCCAAAGTGGAGGTTTCTGATGGGTAGTTGGCAGAGGGCCAGGAATGGTCAAGGATGCAGCTGCTGTGCTAGGACTTTTTCAGTTCATTCTGATTGTCAAAGAATGCCAAAGGAGGCACAGAACCACTAATGAGGTATCAGGGTAGCATGTTGGTACACTTTATTCTCAGTGGATTTCTGTAGGTTTCATGGATATCTGATATAAATACCAGAGAGTGAAACTTTCCAACCATGTACCCAGGTCTGAGACATTCAGTTGCTTTTAGTCATGCACACAGGTTATCCAGATGGGAGATGCAAAGCACCAGAGAGTCCAGGATTTCTTGCATCACATCAGGTATTGGCTGACAATTCCAAACCAACACGGCTGGCCTTGCTTATGCCTTTCAGGGACAGAGGGGCTGCAGTAGGGCCTGAGTCATATATCTATCCTCAGAGATTGGAGATAGACACATGGTTTATGGTCCCCAGTTTAAAGATAGCTGCTCTGAATTTTGGGGCTTCGCTGGGTCCCATGCATTTCCTCTTCCTCAGGCCTCCTCTTGGGACTCCACATGATCTCTCTTGGCTCTATGCCATTCATCTGGACAAATTCACTTGTGTTTATGTACCTACAGGGACTACTAGGAAGGCATCATCCACACCCTTCTTCCTCACTGAGCAGGAGCAACAGCTGAACCAGGTGGATAAACTGACCCTTCAGCTACAGATGATGACAAATGAGAGGAATGAACTGCTTGAATTCCTGGCCCTTTATAACAACAATGAGTTGAACAACAGGTACTCATTATGCCCTGTTCTCTGGTGACTGTCTTAACCCTACTGTGTCCTGAGTGCATCTGAGAGGCAGAACTGAAACCTGTAGGAGTGAGATAGGACACAGGCTGTTCTGATTCCTCCAAATGAAAAAGCAGAGCCTGTGGCCTGAATCACAATGTACAGAGGGGCAGTAGAGTGTAATATCACAACATGCATTTCAAGAGGCCTTGACAGATATTGGTTTTTAGGAGATGCTTGGTACTCTGGGTTGAGTGTTTATATTTGAGTATTTAGTTTTGCTTTTTGCTCTGGGAACAGCCTCAATGGCCTTGTGGTCCTACTCGGTCCATCTGTGTGTCTGCAAGGCCTAGATTTCATCCCTGCTCCTCTCTAGTCTTGTTCCTTATACTATGAGACAATGCCACTTACCTGCATTTCTCTGACATCCTAACTGTGTGTGGGTTTGTGTGTGTGAAGTGCTCTCTAAGGGGCTCAAACGTTGCAAACATGGCAGTGGCAGGTTTTGATCTTTTCACTTCCTTCTCCCTTGATAAACCATTAGATTACATTCCTAAATTTAGTCCCCAAAGTCTGTTTCCTTTTGTGGACACTGACTCATTCTTGAAACTAAACACCAAAGTCCAACAATCGAAATTCATTACTTGGTTACACTGGCTAACCTGTCCCTTCAGAGCTCAACAATTTACCCAGCACAGACTTAACCTTTTCTACTTAAAAACCCACTGTTAAAAAGCCTGCTGCTTGCTGTTTGCCTTTGCCTGATCAAGAGACAGGCTCCCAACGCCATGCTTGCCCTGCTGGGTTAATAAATCTCCTTGTGCTGAGAATTGTGTGTCTGAGTGTGTTCTGTACTGTCTCTGAGAGGCTCACTTACACTGTGTGTGTGTGTATGTGTGTCCTTCCTAATCCTGAGACTCAGAGATTGATAGTAGGCCTGAATATTCAGATGTCTCAAAGATTTCAGGTGATATAAGTCCTGAAGCCAGGGAGCCCCACATTGAGCCTCACTGCTCTCAGCTTTGTGCTCATCCTGGTCCCTCATTGGAATTCCCTTGGGTGTTTATAAAGCCATACTCATGTAGTCCCTCCTCCATGGCACTACAGATTATGAGTTCTAGGTATCCTTGTAAGGAGAAAAAATATCTGTTCTCAAGACAGTGGAAATGTCATTGAAGATTTCAGATAGACCCCGATCTGTGGCACAGACTCCTCAGACACTCTTAGCCAGCTAGTCTGCCCCTGTAGGTCTACTGAGGGAGCTCATGTACTCCTGTCTCCTTTCCTATTGACACCCAGCCTTTCCTGGCCCTGGGACAGTGAGGCAAGTCTAATGCACATCAGGAGGTCCAGTACATGGAATTCAGGGTGTAAATTCCAGTGGGCTAGGGTAGTATTAGAACCTTAATTCATGTGGTCCCTGACACCCGTGTTCATGGGGTTCTTTGCTCCTGGGGCCATGTCCTACCACAGGCTGAAATATGAGCTTGAGATGCTGAAAACAGAGCATAAGAAGGAGATGTCAGATGTGAAGAAATTCCCCAAGGAGATTTGTGAGGTCTCGTACAAGTGCAAGGAGCTGAGTGAGCAGACCAACTCCTACCGGTGAGTGCCTAACTTAGATGGGACTCCAAAAATTGGTAGGGACTGCTTCTGATAGTCTGAAGTTTTTCCAGTCCTGCCTGACCCAGCTGTCAGGAGGAATCTGTCCCACTCACCTCCTGAAGCCAAATGGTCCCAAATAAACACACAGAGGCTTGTATTACTTACAAACTCTATGGCTAATGGCTTAAGTTTCTTGCTAGCTAGCTCTATCATCTTAAATTAACCCATTTCTATTAATCTATATTTGCCACATGGTTGCTGCATGGCCAGGCTGCTGGCATGTTTCTCCTTGTGTGGCAGCTGGCATCTCCTCCACCTCTGACTTTCTTCTCTGGCTCTCCTGGATTTTTCTGCCTGGCTCCATCCTGCTTTGCCATAGCCCAAAGCAGCTTATTTATTAACCAATGGGAGCAATACATATTCACAGCATACAGAAAGACATTCCACAGCAGCTTCTCCCCTTCCTCACCTTAAAACAAAGTTGGGCTGAGGTTCTAGTCTGTTTACCTCTTAGCAGGCACCCTGCCTTATAGCTCTTGGACTTGTGCCTCCAAAACTGAGTTCTCCTAAGAGTGAAGAGTCTGAGAGCCCCTTCCAACATTTTCCTGTCAACTTCTGGAGCTTCTAGAGAGAAAACATGGTTTGCACCATGAATGTTTTCTGTGGCTCTGGCAGGAGCTTACAGAGCTGGTTTCTATGGGAAACATGGAATGTATTTACATTGGATCTTCTGTCCCCCCTCAGAGCATGGTTTCCCTCTACCTGCTCATGTTTTCTCAAAACTGTGAACAGGTAAGCACCAGGATGTATGGTGGAGAGGTAGGAGATCCAGTTTTCGGAGTTACATGGATCCCTTTTGCTGTCAGGGTATTCAGAAGTAGTTTGAATCTTTCTGTAATTTGGATATTCTCTGGCTTTAGTCTGCACCTGAGTCATGCTGGCATGGCTAATATGCATTCATCCCAGGGATCTGTGGTTGGGGACATGACACCTTGCAGGAATGATGGTATTAGGAGGCAGGAGTGGCAGATGGAGGTGGAGCTCATCAATTTTAGTGATATTTCAGCACCCTCTACAGTCAGCTCCTGAGGGAAAGGACTCAGCTAAAGGAAAAAGTGAGCATGTTGAAAGAGGACAACAGAAAGCTGCAGGGGGAGCAGATTTTACTACAAGAGTCCTGCGAGGAGGCGAGAAGGCTCTGTGAGGAGGCCCATGAGAAGATCTATGACCTCTGGACAAAGCAGCAGCATGTAGGTTGAAGCAGCAGGGCCAAACTGCCCACTTGTCTAACCATACACACACATATACACACACCTATGTAACCATCTACTCACTCATCCACCTGACCCATCCCATCCAATAGTTCATTTCTCTGATCATTCACAAGTCATTCTGGGGAGTTAGCCTCTTGGAAGGCACTGCATCACTGGCAAGCAAACCCTACTGCTCTGTTAGAAGCTGCAGTCCATCGAGGGAGATGGGTAAATTACATGTCACTCACTGATATGGTAGTACGGAAAGAGCAGTGCTATGATGGGAGCCACATAGGGAGTAGCACAGAGATCTGAGTGAGTGAGTTCAAGGGTTCTGGGTCTCACTTGCTTTGCACAGGTCATATGAGATCAGAGGCAGAAACAGTATGGAAGGAGGAACGTCCCCTGGGTCTTGTGGACATCTTTTTGGGTGTTATATGGCATTTTACCCGCTTGTTCCCAGACTGCCATGGTGTTCTCTTTACCTGGTCAAACTCTTGGTTCACACTGACAGAAACTTAAGTAACAGTTTGTCAATACTGTTTCCTGTGACTAGCATTGGCCAGTTCTCCCATCCTGGATCTTACACTCAGAAGCTCACTGGATGACCAGGGATGTGGCAAGGGCTTATGACAGGTGGACGTCAGGGTGGCAGATTTGAGATTTTAAGAGAATTATTTCTCCAACTGCACCAACATAGCCTGCAGAAGCACATCATGCTTCCCCAGGCATGTTTAGTCTCAAAATGATGGAAAGCAGAACTGTGGGTCTCACTTGAAACAGCTAGTGTGAGGAGTCTAAATTCAACTGGTAATGTCATCCTCATTCAGTTGATGTCCTCCTCATTGTGTTCTGTTCACTTATGATTTGAGGTGTGTGTGTGTGTGTGTGTGTGTGTGTGTGTGTGTGTGTGTGTGTGTGTGTGTGTGTATGCATGCTTGAGGGTGCACACATTAGTGAGTTTGTTGGAAGGCCACATCAAGTGACCTCTCTTGCTTTCTTCCTTATTCCCTTTAGCCTGCGTCTCTCACTGAACCTGAAATTTTCTCTTCTGGCTAAGCTGGATAGCCACAGATCTTTGGATCTCCTGTCTCCTCACAGTAGAGCTTCATGTCTTTTTGTGTCTCATCTCATTGCTAAATGATTCATTTGGTCAGAAAAAGAACTGACTTGTTGGATTCTCTTAATTTTTGCACATTTTGATTACATTGGAATTAATGAGTTTTGTAATAAATAGCAAAAATCAAACAATGGAGCTATTTGAAAAATCAACATAGACTTTTCTTTCACAGCATAGAGGTAACATCCTGGGATATTTCTAGTTTGTCTTACTGGCTACACAACATGGAACCTGATATTTTGATGCTCACTTTATCATGTATATGACTGTGTCTTCAGACAGATTCCTCCTCCTCATAGTTGTATAGAGTGCGCATTTCAGAAAAGTGCTGTAGGTGCCCTAAGTAGCCTCCTAGTGACTTCCTTGGGACTGTTTTCATATAATATGCACTGTAATCTGGTCAAAAGTTATTGGGTAAAGTAATGACAATGGGTGACCTCCATTCTCTGGTCTATCACTGTCTTCTGTGGAGGAGTCTGGGTAGGTTTAGTGAGGAGTCTATGATGGGTCAACTTGCATCTGTCGGAAGGCTTCATGTCCAGTCATCATCCACGGGCACCTGGTATTGGGTGGTCAAACTCAGTTGTGCAGAGGTTGTTACTCTTCTGTACAATCAGTGAGTCTGGCGATAAAAACTTCCCTAGGAGGGGAAATAAGTTCAGGCCAGGGCAGAAGAGCCTGGATGAGTCTGAGTCTTGTAGACAACAGGGAGGACACACTACCTCTCCCTAGAATAGAAAAGGTGCTGTAACATTCTAGTCTTCTCCCTTGCTCTTCTGGGTTCAAGAAAGGTGTGTGTGTGTGTGTGTGTCTGTGTGTGTGTGTGTGTGTGTGTGTGTCTGTGTGTGTCTGTGTCTGTGTATCTGTGTGTTGTCTTTATGTGTATCTATGTGCGTATGGGAATATGTTGGAGCCTCGTTGTGTATGTTCACTCACTCATGGAACAATGGCACATCTTTAAGAATGATGCAGACAGACTTCAATGTGAAAATACTGTGCCTAACCTGGCTAGTACCACTTTGCATCAGTCAAAGAACTATGAAGGCACACATAAAGCTAACAACAGCAAAAGACAGAAAGTTGATTGAAGGTAAAATTTTTTCAGGTCTTTGTAGAGGCAGAATTATTTATCTGCAAAGAAATCCTTTGGAGAAAAACAAAGTAATGGTGTCCAGGAAGGTGAGAAAGAGGCTACTGAGAGACAGGAAAGGCTGCCTGAGGGTTTGTGTCCTTCTCTGCCCTGGGTGAATGGTGGCTGAGCACTGACGATTTCCCTGCATCCTGTTTTGTTCTTCTCCTCATCACCTGCTGACATTTTCCTTTCACCTTTGCCTAACCTTGGTTCAGCTAACTTTGTCCTAGGAGCTTGGCCTGGACTTTATTCCCTGAGAAATTCTGAACTGCAGAGGTGCTTGTGGCTGCATCTCAGCCCAGCAGAAGTCCCACAGCTATGCTGAGGTGTGAGAAGAGGCTGTCTCAGTGCACCCCTTAGACTCACCATACTCTAAAGCACCCACTCCATGTTGTGTCTGCAGCATTCAGAAACTGCTTTTATTCCAAACTTCTTCATACTGAGTTAAAATTTGCCCTGATGGAGGGTTGGCAGAAATGAGAACTCTCCGATATTGGTAGTAGTGTAAAATGGTGCAGCCCTGTGAGAAGCTATGTATAATTATACAGAAAGTTGAAATACAGACTCTAGGTGGACCATTGATTCTAGAATGGAAATGCCTCTGGGCTGGAATATGGGTAAAGTGGGTATGGGTTAATGAAAGGTAACTTGCTTCTCCATACTATCCCAGATGATCTCTTCTTACAATAGTGTTATCTGGGAAACTAAACATGGATGCAATGTAGTGTGCTTATATGCGTGCATCCATGCACATGTGTGTGTTCAAGGGTGTGTGCATGCATGTGTGTGTGTGTGTGTGTGTGTGTGTGTGTGTGTGTGCTTGCACATGTGTGTATTTAAAGGGGTGCACACAATCCTCTTCTAAAAACACAATGTTCTAATGAACAGGAACATCAAAGACTTAAGGAAAATCTTCAGTCCCTGAGGAAGCAGAAGGAGCTGCTCACCCAGCAAATGGACTTGGCAGTAAAGCTGCAACATCATTTCACTGTGTCCCAGATGAGGTAGGAACCCAGGATTCCAGAAGCAGGTGGATCCAAGTGGGTCTGCTGTACCTGGATCTCTGTCCTCTTTGAGTTTCTTTTCAACTGACAAAGCTCCCAGCCACAGCCAGGGAAAGAACACCTCAGAGTTTCGTTACTGGCTCAGTCAACAGGAACTTCTGTCCTGGAAATAATATGCTTTCTCCTTGGTCTTATGGGGATTGTGTCCTCTTCTTCCCTTCTGAGACCTCTAGTATCCTCTGAGTATCTCATCTCTTAGATTAGATCTCCTCACAAATATTCACATGACAGCCAGAAACCTAGAGGGGGATCATCAATCGTGAAGGAAAGTGTGTCCTCCTGCAATTTTATTTTCCATCATAAACGTTATGTTTAGAGATAAGTGTCTACACTTTGGCAGATTTGCATACAACAACCTACTGCTGATTGCTGGCTCTCTTCACTGTTTATCAGTTTCTCATGAGAAGATTTGCTCTGGTCCTAAACAGAGTAGGAGTTGACAAGTTAATCCCATGCAGGGGTCTGGGCTGTAGGAATCATCAGAGCCTTCTCTGCATTGCTGTGTAGGCTCCACTAGAGGGCAGGCATAGAGTTTTCCAGGAGGTTCACATTCACCTGGTATTTAATCAAGACCAGGTACATCCTCCCTGACCTGTGCCTCAGACCTTGTCATACTGATATTTCTCCAAAAGGATGTCTTTGGACTGTTGGAGAAACATGCTGTTTTTTCTAATCCAGCACAGTGTGTCTTTTCCAGTTCAACTTCTAGCAGTTTTTAAAAGTTGAGGAAAAATCCTGCCCAGTAGCTCTCTGACCCTTTTCCCTTGGGGAAGCAGGGAATGAACTCAGCTGAAAGGCAATGCTAGATTGTCTAGCTGAGTAGATCTGGTGGGGGCTCAAAAGCTGACATGGCAGGTCCCCACCAGGCCTGTGCCCCAGCTGCCTTTCTCCCCTAGGTTTGAAAACCTCCAGCAGGAACTGGAGCAGACCACAGCCCAGGATGAGAGCCTCCTGCAGATGGAGCTGCTGAAGCAGAAACACTATGTCCCTGGCAAGTAATTGAGCCCCATCCCCAGCAGCCAGGGATCATGGAGTGTGTTTCCTTCCTTAACTTTTGTTTACTAGGGATGAATAGGCCCTGATTTTCATGCCAGTGGCACAGCAAAGCTGTTTCTGAATCATACTTTCTTTACTAATTTTACCTGACAGCACCTGTTAAGAAGACTGAGAAGGCTGGAAGAAGCCAGAAACACCTTGAAGGCATGACATTCTACACTCCAGGTTCAAGGCCTCCTCAGAAAATGCCACTTCTTTTCAGCTTTGAACTCAATAGTGAGGCAAATATCAACCTACCATCAAGCGATCCAGCCTCAATCGGATCCATATCAGTGGGCTCACTATCACTGGAGAAAATTTTGTGTCAGAAATAAGTCTAAAATACAGAGAACACAAGACAAATTATTAAGAACCCTGACTCCATATGTGATGGGAAAACTGACGAGGAAGACTGTGTTTATGTCACACTGCCATCTAGACAAAACACACCAAAAACACAAGAGTCTCTCTAGTGCAGTGCAGAAGCTGACACCATGTCATGGGCAAGTGTAGCTGAAGATAATTCACTACAGAGAATAAGCCAGTTCCTCACCTCTTTTGCTCTTCCATAATGAAATTACAAAGGAAACTGTAATCTCCTTAATATTTTTGTTTTATATCTTGGGATATTTATGCTTTGGTTTTGGGTTTTCTTCATTTTCATTTAAGGTTTTGTTAACTTTTGTTATTACTTTTATTCTTGTCATTGTTTTAATAGTTTGCTAAGGCTATACACTGTATATAATGATACTGTTTTGAAGGCCCCATTGAGTAAAATGAATGTATTTTATGAATAAAATACAATTTCAAACTTTTCACTCTGAGACTCTTCTTTAGTCAGGTGAGGTTTCACACTCCCGTAAACCCAGAAATCACAGGCTTGGATGTATCTCAGTAAGTTCCAGGAAGCTCAGGCTGCACAAGGATTTTCCATTCATGGGCCTCAGGGATACACAGGGGGATTGCACCTGGATGTGGATGGCATAGCCTACTCCATGGATAACAACTATATAAGAGAAAAACTAGACATATTGTATCTGTG